GCGTGTGGCGGTGCCCCCGTGGGTGCCCTTTCCCCTCCGCGGTGATGGTGTGTGGTGGGGCTGCCGTGCAGAGCTGGATCTGGGCGGCAGGCTGCTGGGCTTGGTGTTTCTGCGGTGTCCTGTCACGCTTCTGGGGCCTCGCAGTTCGCTCTTCACATTTTCTTTATAAACCAGCCCGCATGGGCTTCCTCATCCCGTGGGGTCACGGGATGCGCTGAGTTTGTGTTGGGTTTTGGGGGTAACTGATGTTCTTGAGAGTTGCGTATTTGCCTGATGCAGTAAGGGTTGTAAATTTCATTTTCCATTTCATTATTCTTGGGTGAATATACGTAGCTGTCTCCTGTCAGGTGGGACTGCATCACATTCTCTTTCCATCCCCCTCACAGGTGAAGCTATTCTCTTCAGCTTCCTTCTTACCTGAGAAGGATTTGGTTGTCTTTTTGTTTCCTGAGTGGATGTTGATCTTGGTAACTTGCTGTATGTTAATGGCAGTGGAGCCTGCTCGCAGCACATGGAAGTTCCCCTTTCTCCCTGTTTTAGCAGGAAGACCTATGCCTGTGGGTTCTTCACATGCCTCCTTTAAGTGGCTGAATCCATAGCCTTCTGCTTAGCTGCACACACAGCTACGTGTGTGTCCCATTTGTAGATTTGTGTATGTGTTTTCCCATTCAATGAGTGTATTTATGGCCCTCTAATTATACCAGCACCAGCACTTCAATGAGTTTTTATTATGAATCATTGTACAGTGTAATGCCTTGGCAGGGGAGCTCCTTGTAAATAAAATGATGATCTTTAGAACTAGCTAATTTATTTATTTTAAAATCCTGTGTCTTGGATGCTGTTATTTGCCTTTGAAGTGTCAATGCACCCCTTCTCTCTGGCTGCCTGTGAGACTGGAACAGGAGCATGGGGTGCCAGGGAGAGGTTTGTGGGTGAGTTTGTGCAGCTGGGATCATGGATATTGTGTTGTACAGCTGACAGTAGTAATTCACTGAGATGTTTGCACAAGAGGAAGGGAAGGGAGTAATGACAATTGGGGTAGTTGATACCTTACGGTGCAGGGGACCCTGTCTGTCAGCTCACGGAGAAGCAGTTTAATTAAACCTAAGGGACTCCTAACCTATGGAGAGGAAAGCGAGAAGCGTATCTTCCTGCAGCAGTGCCTGATGCAATAAGCTTCTGTGATCCAGGGGTGGATCCCTCTCTGCTTTACTGGTCTGTGGGACAAAGCTGCAGTAAAATTTGCCACATCGAGTGCTGCTGTGCACTCCTCCTCTGGGTTGGGCTCGAGATTGTAGCTTTAATTAGATTGAGTCCTGTCAGCAAACATAATTATTTGTTTCAGTTGTGTTTTGTTTTTTTTCCTCCTTGCATATGTCTGAGTACTCTTTTACTTATAGATCAGGACAAAGAGTTGCTGTGTGCTGCTTTTAGATGCTCAGCAATGAGCAGGGTGATAGCTCTGTTGAGTCAGCAATAGCTGCTTTGCTGCTGCCTTAATGTTTTTCCACTGCTGACCCCCTAGCTCTACAAAGGCAATTTGGACTTACTACTTTAAAAGAAAAAAAAAAAAAAAAAGATCAGATCCCTCCCTCTGCCACGTTACCCAGGAATGGCAGTTGAAGTCCTCAGTCCTAGAGTGAAACTTTCACGTTTTGGTGTAACTAGGTAACAGGAAGGAAACAGCAGATTTGTGCTGTTCTTGTAGCCGATGGGGTTAGGGAGCCTGACAGGATTCTTATTTTTCTTTCTTTTCTTTGTGTGTGTTTGTTTTAATGCAGTCTTTTGAGTCTTTCTCCTTCTAATAATAAAATTAGCCTTTGAGCCCCATAGTGTCTGAAACACTTTTAGTTTCTTTAATCTGATTACTGAATGACAATCTGTGTATTCTCTTCTCTTTGGTTTCTCAGTTGCCTGTAATATTAATGTCAGAAAAGCTCAGAAATTATGAAAAAGCTGGTATTGTGGAGATGTTGTAATCTCTTTGGAATTTTTTTCCTTTTTTTCTATTTGTTTAATGGAGAAGTGCAAGATGCAAGAAAAATCCTGAACTTGGAGCATCCCATTCTTAGAACATCCCATTTGAGAAGGAATTGGCAACTTTGTGCTTGGGTCAACTCCTTTGTCCTTCTCAGTAATTCAAGATAGACCTTGGTTTGGGCTGAAGAAGAGTGGACTGAAAGGAAGACTTTTAATTAATTTATCTCCAGGAGCAAGCTGGGCATGACTGCTGGGCATCATGTTCAGAAAAGCATGCTGTTGGGTATTGAAGGGTTGAGCACTTCTCTGGGGTGAAAGGGGAGAATAGTCCCCAGAGGGCAAAGAGACCTCTTTGGAACCGTAACAAGGTGATGTTGGTTTGAGTCAGGTCAAGACCTTAGTATAAGCCCACTGCAGGATTTTGCTGCTCTGAAATATTTAGGCACTGGGTTTTTTGGTTTTGGTTTTTTTTTTGGTGGGTTTTGGTTTGGGGTTTGTTTTTTTTTTCCCCACTCCATTCTTTCCCAAAGTTACTGGACAGGTTTTAAAAGCGATAACTGTTTTTACAGATAATGGTATGCCTTCTTTGCTTGGACACTGGGTGTCTTAGTGTGTGTCTTCTATGAGACCTTCTAAAAATTTGTGTATTTATTTGTCAGTTTTGAACAGATTTGGCAGAGGAAAAGAAGTTTAAAATGGTCATAAATTTTGAAGAAAAGGGAAGGGGTAGAAGGAAGAGAAGACATTATTGAGGAAAACACAAAGCTTATATTAACCATCTGAGAATCCACTTAGTTCAGCAAGCTAAGATTTGTGGAAATCTGCTGTGAAGTGGTACATACAGGAGCGTTATTTGCACACCGAGATTTAATAACAGGTCTGGGATTTAACAATAGTGTGAGGGGGTTGAATTTATGTGATGATGTCTGGTTCTGCTAACTCTCAAATACTTGAGTGTTTCTCACTTCTACCAATTGAAGCGGCCTCTTGAGACAGGACAAAACCCTCCTTTTGGATTGCCAGCGACCTGCAAGAAGGAGAATTCTTGTCTATGGCAAAGAGAGAATCTATATCTTGTGTTTTGTCTCCTTCTTCTAGGGAGAACTGGTAAGGAAGCTGAAGGAAGAGAAAGCTCCCCAGGTGGATATAGACAAAGCTGTAGCTGAGCTCAAAGCTCGGAAGAGAATCCTAGAAGCAAAGGTGAGTCTGGAACTTAAATTTGAGTTCTGCAGTTTTGTCTGAAAATCACTGAAATCTCTACTTCATGCTTTTTTACAGTGTCGATTTAGGTTGAACAGTCCTAGCAGGGTAGACTCTTTGAATTGCTTCTGAAATAGTTTGCAAGTTTCTAACTAGTGGCAATTTTGTTCTTTATCTGTTGTGCTAGTATCTGTTAGCATTAAAACATGGTGTGTTGACAAATGAATATGAGTTCAGGTTGTTCATAGCGAAAGCTGAAATTCAGTGTATATGTTGCTAATCTTTGTGTACTGTATAGATCTTCTTTGTGCACAGGGAGAGGACATGCTGTTCACTGTAGTAAGTTTCATCTTCAGATTCTTTGTGTAGCATTTAAATTCCCTGACTGGCATTGAACATATTTCTTTAGGAAACCATTTTCTTGGCTACAGTTTAAACAAAGTTTTTGGTGATGTTTCAAATAGCCTATGGTTTTCTTCGGCCTTAAAAAGAGGAATGTATTGAAATTATGCCACCTTTTTTAAATGTGATTGTTCCCTGAAAAGTCTTTCTACAAATGAAATAATGGAACTACTAGTTTGTTTTGTGTCTAGATCAATAAACAAGTGAAAATAAATTTCCTTATCCTGCAAGCTTCCCTCCTCTTCTCAGACTGAAAACTACAAAAAGAAACTCCTAAAGCATAAAAACAGTCAGGTGCAGATTCACCCAGGAAACTGCAAAGTTCCTTCTAATTTGTATTTCATATAGAAATGATTGTAGTTGTGCTTTGGTGGTACTCTTAAAAATCAGTGAATAAATAAATACACCACTGCTTGCAACTAACTTGAATGTGAGTATACCTGAAGTGAAACCAGTTGGCCCTGTTTGTCCTGCAGAGTCACGTGAGGTGAACAGTTCAGGTCTGGCGTTACGGCTACCTGTTTGCATACATTTACCCCAAGTAAAAAGATGTCATTTGAACTTAGTATTCAGCATAGAATTGTGCTTTGAAACCATTGCGTGAAACCTGTGTTGACAGCTGGGTCATCCTGAAGGAAATGGTTTCTGAGTATTTTCCCAGTTCTGTTTTCCAGCCCTTGGAAGCGTGATGTAGAGAGACGTAGCATGGCAGGTTAGGAGCCCTGGTATCCCTGTGAGCCCCACCTTGCTGTTGGAAGAGTGCCTATAAGATGCAGTATAGAGGCGTACGTGCTAGTTACACAATTTGCGTGGGCTGTATCCCTGTTGGTGCAATAATGACCTTGCCAGCGCAGCATCTGCCCTTGTGAGTGCAGCACGCCAATATAGTCATCCTCTCGACGGTGTTTCCAGCAATGCATCACCGTCTCTTGCAACTTTTGCAGAAGGCACTGATGTGAATCCTCGTTAGCTTTAGCAGCCACTGATACAGTTTTCAAGCCCTGTGATTACTACTTAAAGGTAGCGGAGTGACTCTGAATTTGAAGCTTTGAACAGAGCAGAGCAGTTGAGTGTTTAAAATTCCTTGGCTTTTATGTCCTCAAACCATATCTTAAGTCAGTAGATTATTCTGCTTCTGTACAGGGTCTTTCTTCCCCTTGAAGGCTAACACAGGCACTTTTCTGCCTTCTGTTTATGAATTTGTTTATGTTTATGGATGTGTGCTGGATAGCAGAGACTGTTTCTTTGGCTTCTGCATCAGTTCATTAACTCTTCTCTTTAGGCAGCAGAAGAGGGGCTCTGCAGAATTCTGTACCGACTCCAGTCACTCCTGTGCTGCTGGTCATTTCTCCCTGCCAGTTCAGAATTGGGCTGTGTCACTGTTGCTCTCCTTCTGTCCATCTCTGGGCAAAAGCCAGCCTTTCTCTTAAAAAACCCTGTTTTTTTAAATCACATTCTGAAATGTGATTCTGTGTTTTAGGCAGAGGGGGACAAATTGATTCCCTTTCCATGCTTTAACACTACTGTTCTGGTGCTTGCTCTCATGTGTGCTCTCTGTCTTTGACTCCTTCTGTCTCCTGCACAAAGTTACTCCTTGGCTTATGCTAATTCATGGGAGCAGCAGAGGTACAGTACTTTTAAAATTAGACCATGTTATTTGTCTTTATAGATGCCCAAAAAATAAAAGTTTGAAATTATTGGTCACACAATGCTTTTTGTTATCAAAAGGCTGTTCAAAATGATAGTGCTAGCCACGTAGGAGGATCTGAATTGATTTATTGACTTATTGGCTTAACTCTGCTCTAATTATCAAAACATCTTTGTTGAAGAAAGTTTTTCAAGTCTGTTGACTTCATTAGTGGAGCTGGTTGCAAAAATCATAGGTTTTTAGATAAAGCAGTGAGTCTCCTGTAAAACATTTTCACAGAATCTAGTCAGGGCATTTAGGCACTCTTTAACTAAATAATCTGTGTACGTGGGCTGTGTTTGTGAAAGCCTACATTTCGCAAATAGGTATTCCTTGTACGTGTAGCTAAAGACACACCTTTGGCAGAGCACAAGGATGATGATGTTTGTAATCTTCATGGTAAAAATTATTTCATGTGAGGAACACTTTACTGAAAGCTTCTTATATACCAAGAGTTAGATGTTTGTAGTCTGAGCTAGTCACTTAAAGCTCTTTTTATAGTCAGGAGAGGGAAATAGGTCAGAAGAATTGCTTTAGAAATTGTCATTTCTCTCCACTAATTGTAAAAAAAGCTGAGGATAACTAGCTGAGACTTAGTTGTCTGAAAGTTAGGGGAGTTGAGTCCACCTCGAGGGTGTAAAATGCTACATTCAGACAATCATGTTCATCATTGAGCGCTTGAATCTCAGTGTGACCATTCCTCTTTGGAAAATGAGCACGTTGGCAGGATACCTTTGCTTCAGAATGATCTTTACAGACTTTTGACTCACAGTGGTGAATGGAGAGAAGGATTTCTCCTCCTGCCCAAAACGGGAGCTATTAACTGTTTTCGGTTTGCTTGAATTACAGGAGCTAGCCTTACAGCCCAAAGATGACATTGTGGACAGAGTTAAAATGGAAGACACCCTGAAAAGAAGGTTTTTCTACGATCAAGCCTTTTCTATTTATGGAGGTATGGATTTGAAGGAATTTACATTTTAGTCCCTTTAGGCTAATGTTCTGGTCTTTCTAGCTGTGTGAAATGCTGTACTCTGGCAATGTTATATTAATGCATCATAAAATAATTTTTTTTAAAAGTTGGCTTTAAACTTTCCTGCTTGAGTCTGTAAGCCTTTCAAAAACTCCCCCTTCCTAAAGTCTTCAGGTGGAGAGGGGACTCAAATTTTGCCTGTTGCTTTCTGAACGTAAATGAGTGGGCTTTAGGGTGCATGTTCTGAGCGTTACATTGTAGAAGATGGTTTCTTTGGAGGGGGATACTGTGTTTTGACATTTAAGAGGGTGATCAGCTTATTTTCTCATAACCATTCATCTCTATCTGAGCTTTCCTCAGCTAGATAATGCTCAAAGCTACTGTGAACTTTAGAACCTGTTACCTTAATGAACTTTGTCAATGAACTTTATTGAAGAGGTGAACAAATGTGGCTGTTAAACCTCTTCAGAGAGCTGATTTGAGGCAGCTTGGGGCAGGCACGGGAAGCGCAGTGCCTGTACGGTTGCTGCTTTTTCAACTAAGATACTAAAATAAATACTCTGTGTTGTTTTATTGGCTTTTTCTTTCTCTTTTTCATCTTTGCCTAAACTGGTGATTGGCAGCTGTGTTTTCTTGCTGATGATAACATATTACTTTGGCACATGCTTTATCACTTCTCCTGTATTCAGATTCCTCCTTCAGATAGATCACTTCCACAAAACTCTCCACAAAATGTAATCCATTACTGGAGGGAATGTGGCTTTTACAGTTGTTGATTGCAGGTATTTATCAATTTCAGCTTCTACTTCAGCTTCTTTTTCTCTTTGCAGGTGTCAGTGGTCTGTATGACTTTGGGCCTGTTGGGTGTGCTTTGAAGAACAACATCATCCAGGCATGGAGACAGCACTTTATTCAAGAAGAGCAAATCCTGGAGATTGACTGTACTATGCTCACGCCAGAGCCCGTTCTGAAGTAAATATGGGTCTTTTTTTTTTTTCTGCAGCATGTAATTTCTGGTCATAGTTGCTTTTTACAGTCTTCTGTAAAATTACCCAGAGGGATCTTGAGACAGGGTGACCCAATTTTGTACCCCATTGCAGTGCAAAATAATTAGATATCAGTGCCCAGGTCAGTGTGAGAAGCTGTTGTTCCATAAATCATGAAGAGCAGTGGGACTCATGTCTGAGAGTTTAATGTCTTAATGTCTTCTAGCAGACCCATTCGATAAGAAATTGCCATTCTCCCTTTTTCTAAAAGATCAAGAAGACAAGAAAAAGGATTAGGTGACTCACCTAAATCTGGGTCATAGTTTAGGACAGTGGCCAAGTTCCTGGTCATCCTTCCTTTCTCTGTGGAGGGATGGCAATATGCAGTGTGTTAACTGAGCTCTGAATGCCAGTGGTGCTTCGGTAGCCCTGGGGATCGAAGCCCTCGTTTTATCCACAGACCAGGTAGAGGGACCATCTTCCAGGGTGGGAGCACAGTTCAGGTTCTAGACCCTTTCACCTCCAACGGGTTTGCTGAATATGTCGGGAGCTTTTGGACTGAGAGCCTGAGCTGAGTCAACTGCTTTACCTTGTAAGGGTCACAGCATAACGGGCAGGAGCTTTCGTGGATCACTGGTTTAAATTGGTGGGAATCTGTCCACCTGAACTACAGGTTACTCCTCACAACTGCATCTATGTCTTGCTTCCATCATGATGCAGTTCCTAAAGTCACTAAGTGTCATCTTAGTGACACATTTGAAGATTTAGATGTATGGATACTTTCTCCCAGATCAGATTTTCCGTGAGATGGTACTGCTTAGTGTGAATCTATAATCTGAAGCAAGAGTGAGCCTGCAGCTTGGGTACACAGTTTGAAGGACTTCTCTTTGATAATGGTCTGTCTACTGGCATCACACAATACCTGAAGCTGTCTGGTGGCAGCTTTCATGTTCCTTTTTTGTATCATCTTTTCTAGGACTTCTGGCCATGTAGACAAGTTTGCTGACTTCATGGTGAAAGATGTCAAAAATGGGGAATGTTTTCGTGCTGATCATCTCTTAAAAGGTTTGGTTTTGTTCCAAGGCTGGGCGGGCTTGGGGATTTCTTGCAGTGGTACAGACGTGGGAGAAGAGGAAGGCCAGTTGGTGTAGCCAGTCGTACTTGTGTTTGTAGTTCATTAATCATACCATACCAAAGATCCCGTAAGTTCTGAGTTCCACCTAAATGTTGTGTTTGTGTTTTAAACAAGGTACAGGTTCTCTAGTAGAAGCATAGGTGGGTCCCTTTTCAAAAAATCCTGTGTCATCAGGCCATAAACTATTATATATTGTCTAAGCCGAGGACTCCCTGTATAACAAGGTTCCTCTTCTCTATTGTGTCTTAGTTTTCTTGAGTTGCAGTTGCTTTTTGTTCAGAACTGAGAAATTATTTAATGATGATAAGGGGACAAAGTGTGCTTTCGTATGCAAACGTCAATTACATGGCAGCTGCTGACTTTCGTATACCTTAGAACTCAGCTGGCTTTTGGGAGTGCTAAATATACTAGACATTTCTTAGGTTTGCAAAATCCTCACACTTATTTCTGGTTATTGATTAAAATTTGTTTGAAAAACACACAGAAAAATGACATGAAGGGATTTTATATCTAAAAACCTGTTTGAAAACTTAATGTACAGCTCCATTGTGAAAGGAAGACTTCTACTCTAGGTTGAAGTGTGTTGTGCTCTCTAGTTTTCTAGCCTTTTCCTTGGAATTTAACAATCTACATTGGCATTAAGGCTGTTTTCATAATAGTCAGTTAGAATTTTTGTTTTATTTAAAAAACTAAACCTAAAGAAACCCATCTAACCTCAGCCTCCTGAACAGCATCACGAAGAAGAGTGTCCCTGTCCCTTCTGCAGCCCATCACTGGTGAACAGCCACCTGCTGTTAAAGCCACTAAAAAGTCAGATTCCTTTTTTTGAAATGAAAGTGAGAAGTCTTGGCATCACTGTCTGTGTTTGTATCTCATGGAGGATGTGCTTTAAAGTGGAATGCAGTCTAACCCTACTGTACCAAGTCAGTACGTGCCTCTGACTGCATTTGGGTAAAATTAGCCTTGCTGGCTTGGGATCAGATGTTGCTTTTATTTCCAGTCTATATAGAAAGAAAATAAGGAGAAAGGGGCTACAAAGCCATTGCTTGGGTTTAGAGAAATGAATATTGTAAAGGAACTAGATAAGGATCTGTTGTTTTCTCTGTGGCACACCAGTACAGTGAACTGGTGCAGCTCCTCAGCTGCAGATCAGCATTACTCTGATGGCACGAGTGAAATTACCCTGATAGGCACTTAGCAAGACAGCTGGTGGACGTACACTTAGCTCGTGCTGGAAGATTCTCTTGATTTGTCTAGCTTTAAATGGGGGTCAGTGATGGGGTTGCAGTATAAACTCACTGCGTACTTTTCTTGCTTACAGCTCACCTGCAAAAGCTTATGTCTGACAAGAAGTGCACAGCAGAGAAAAAGGCAGAAATGGAAAATGTTCTAACACAGGTAGGTGCCTGCATGAGGAGGTGTATGCTTCAGGGATTTGTGTGTAATGGGAAGTATGATGCACTGAGTCCAAAGTCGACATCCCTTCTCTGTCTCTAAAGATGCTCAGAAGTCTTTACCTCAAAGCTGCTTGTAGGCTGTACATGCTCCTAAATACTGAAAACTTACTGGTTAACAAATACTGTAAACTTGCTACTTAATTGCATCTCCCTTCTGCTGTTTTCGAGAGTTATTGCTATTTTATTGGTCTCTTGAATGTTGGATTGGTAGGGCTGAAGGTGTGTCCTCGGAGCTGCTCTAATTTGTTCCACTTCACACCCTGGCCAAACGCCTATTTCTTTGGAGTCCCCCTTTTACCTTTGTAAATCTCTCCCTGTCAGATTATGATACAAAGGAACAGAGATGGGTGAGAAGTTTTGCCAGGGTTTTTCGTAGTCTCCATAGCACTGAACTGGTATGTTTTAAAGTTGTCTTGGCCTTGAGATTTGTTCCTTTGTCTCTAGCATCCTGCACAGATTTTTCCTTTGTTTACCATGGGAATAGTTGGTGCTCCAGGTTGATATTCCTGACCAGCTGTACAGACATTTGCCTTTATTTCATTATTTATTTTTCTTCCTTTGTTTTTAATGGTTTTTTCTCATGACTTTTGGGATAAATGTTTCCAGAGCCTTGCACAGAATGAATATTTCCTTCCAAAAAGACCAGTATTTTTTTTTCAATGAATTGCATCACTGAGCAGCTGTCATTAGGTTTTCCACACTACAACACTGAACTTTGACCATCCTTTAGGGAAATTCCTCTATTAATAAACTCTTTTCGTCTCCTATCTTGAGTTTTCTCTGATATATGAAGGATCATGACAATTCATTCTAGAAGCAACTGATTTGATTTTAAACTTGAGTGTTAAATCATTACTGTACTGTTCAGTATAGATTCTTTATGGTACTTAAGTCTAGAAACCACATTTAAGCATACATAGGCAAAAGGCTAGTACATAAATGCACAAAACAATGCCAGAAATTGTGGCTTTTGTGTGGTTAGGTTGCAGTTAGATCTGTGGTTGTATTACTGCTTGATTCCCATCTTTCAGAGAAAGGAGAAGGTAAGATCCTGGAAGGGGCTGACATTATCCCACTTGTGAAGGTGTCCTGTCGTTACCAAAGTATTTTCAGAGCAAACAGAAAATCTTTCACCAAGAATCCACGTACAGCAAATTTCCTCTATTTAACTAAAATGCAGAACAGCTCTCCAAGAGAACATCTAATGCATAGCTTGAATATTGTGTTTCATGCAGCAGAAGGAGGAGAAATTAATGCAGACAGAGCACTGCAGGAATTTTAGCTTTTTTGCTCTCTCATTGCTATATTTTTTTTCCTTCCCAACACACTACTCCCTGTGTTTTAGATGAAACTGTTCAAAAGAAGCTGCTGGTGGGTGGTGATGCAGTCCCAATGACTTTTCTTTTGCTTTACACCCACTCTTATGCTCAGTGCTTGCATTTCTGTCTAGACTTCAGATTTTCTGTGGTATGACTGAGTCGTGGACTTATATTACTAAAATGGTTTTGCAGATGTGCAGTGTATTTAACATCGGTTCAAACTTAACCTTTCTTGAAAATTTAGGTTAAAAGGGAATATTTTAGGCTGGTGTTTCAGAGCTGTGGATCATGCTCAGTAAAAGATGAAAAGGACATAATTCATTCCTTTTATCTTGTCTAGTAATTAAAGTAATTCTCCTGTGTTTTGATATTAGTTGGACAATTACGGCCAGCAAGAACTTGCTGATCTCTTTGTGAACTACAACGTGAAATCGCCTATCACTGGGAATGACCTGTCCCCTCCTGTTTCTTTCAATCTGATGTTCAAGACCTCCATTGGGCCTGGAGGAAACATGCCTGGGTAAGTACAAGTGTCATTCTGCTTACACTCTCCCTTCTTCATATTCTGCATCACTTGGGATAAAAATGAAATCTTGAAAGGATTGAAATATGCCATTTCTTCTTGAGTAGCCTTCCCCTGCCTTTTGGTCCCAGTCTTCTCTGGCAGTTTAGCATTCCTTGTGCTCTTAGTGACAGGTAGGAGAAACAAGGAGCTGATGCAGAATCACAAAAACGCTCGAAGCAGCAGACGGTGGATCACAGCTGTACCCTTGCTGGTTGGAGTTGTTTCCATAAAGTCGGTTAATGTTGGATCCCCAATTTTCAGTGACTTCATGGCTATATAGAACCTGTTTCAGGATGAAGTTCCTTAGCAGGGTGATCCAGTGGTAGCATCATTTACCAGATGTTTGTAGTTAGTGTGTGAGAATGTGCAGGCTATTGTCTTGTCTCCAAAACTGAAACAGTGTTGAAGAGTGGAGAATATGATTCTTGCACATGTTCTGGAATGGGATCAGAGATAGACAGCGTATGTGTTCTCCAGTGTAATACGTGAAATAAGTCTGTGTCGGTAGTATTCTCTGTGGAAGTCTCAAATCACCGTGGGGGCTGTAGGGGCCCTACACTAAAGCCACTTCACAGTTTGTGTGACAGCAGAGGTGTAGTCGTGGTTTGCCTGCAAAATGCTCGTTTGTAAGCAGCCTGGTACAGCTCAGGCCTACACAGGAAAGGCAAGGAGAGTGCATTCCCTCTGACCTCCGTGGTGTAACTGGCTGCTGTATTTCATTCAAACATCTCTTTCCGTTCCATGCTTGCATCTCAAAAGCGGCCAAGTCATCCAGTTTACTTTTGGGAGTAACTATGGAGTGCTGTGTTTGGGTTGCAGCTGATGTTTGTTTGTGGTTTTCCCCTCAGTCTATTGCTTCATTGTTTTGTGTCTGGAGTTAAAAGACTTAAGAGAAAAAGTACCACCTTTGAGTTTTGTAGTAACTATGTTTTTCTTTTCACACTGCATTCACTACCCTTGCATTTTCATGAATTTTCCTTTTCCCCATCTCCTTACAGCTATCTGAGGCCAGAAACTGCACAGGGAATTTTCCTCAACTTCAAACGTCTTCTGGAGTTTAACCAAGGCAAACTGCCTTTTGCTGCTGCCCAGATTGGAAATTCCTTCAGAAATGAAATCTCACCCCGCTCCGGCCTTATAAGAGTGAGGTACTGCACATTTCCTCTTTCAACAGAAGGGTACCTGGGAGCAGGTAGCCACCTCCCTTTTGTTCCAGTGTTTCTGCACGATTGTTTCACTTCAGTGCTTTCTCTCAAAGGATTCCTGATAACGTGCCTAGTGAGTCTTGGGGTTCACAGGCAAACTTCTATAGTTAAGGTTTTAACTACAGAATTCTGTCTAAGCCTGGCTGATGAGAAATAAGATCTCTGAATAGCTGTTGTATTAGAAACACCTGGATTAAATTCAGTTTTACTAACAGAATTTGGCTTCCACCATAATCTAAACAAATCATATTAAAGGTAGCCGTGTTCTCTACAGGACATGCAACTTTGCTTATATAATCATGTTAATGCGTTTTACTTTAGAACTGGAATCTGAAATCAAAAGTGATTTGCAGTATTTCCATATCTCAGTTCTGCAGATTCTGCAGTTCTGCAGCTTGTTACAGGGAGGAGGTCAAGAGATAACCTGACTTGAGACGTGTGTTTGTATCCCAAGATAAGTCAAGCAGGAAGGCTTGGGGCTATTGAGAATTACTTTCAAAGCTTTCTGTCTCAGGGTAGAAGTGATTATTGCGTTTAATTAAGGATAGACTCTGTATTAAAATACTGAACTATTCTGAACCGAAGTCTTTTCCATCTAATTTGGAACAAGAGCTCCCATGCACAGTCAGTGTGGTTCTGCCGTACACACAGGCAGTATGTTTTGTAAACTTGGTAACTGATTTATACAGTGCCATAAATGTCACCGAGAGGCAGTGGCCTCGTTAGCACTGAAGAAACTCTTTGGAATTTTCTCAGGCCTCCTGTTCTGCCTTGCGCATCTGGAGGTGAGAACTTTACTCATTGAAATGCATTTTCAGTCAAATACAAATGATACGCTTGTGGCACATTTATTGGAGACTGTGTTATTAGGCTGTCATAGCAAATTACATCCTGATGCCTGTCATTTAAAGTTAATGATTAGCTAGAGCTTTTTTAAAGGATCTTGATAACAAACTAATTCAATGTAAAGTGATTTCAAGCAAGAAGGCTAAGAATCAGTGTGTGAATATAGATGTATTAAAGAGAAATTCTTGAAACAGAATGTATGCCATTGCTGAGTGTAGCAATATCATTATCTTCAAGAAATTATCACCTCACCTGGCTATTTTGGGCACCTCTGATATGAGGCTACTGAACTAGTCAGTGGATTAGTCTTAATTGACCTTGTAGGAAATGTATACTTCGAATATGGACATCACAGCAGTCTGGAAAAACTCCAGAGAACTTCTGGAACAGTTTTAATCTAAAAGAGGGTAGATTTAGATTAGATACTAGGAATATTTTTTTTTCCTGTGAGGGTGGTGAGACCCTGGCCCAGAGAAGCTGTGGATGCCCCATCCCTGGAGGTGTTCAAGGCCAGGCTAGATGAGGCTTTGAGCAACCTGGGCTAGGAACAAGATGATCCTGAAGGTCCCTTCCAACCCAAAGCGTTCTGTGAGTCTATGATTCTGTTTCCAAACGTGGTATTCTCTGCTCTGAATCACAGTCATGATAACCATGACCTGGAGATCTCTTAGATGAATTTGTAGAAAGTTTTGTTAGAAATTTGAAGATGAAACTAAATCCAGTGTTGAGACTGGTTCCTGTTCCAGTCTGGCTCTGGATGGCTCTGGGTTTGCATATGTTTTTAAACTTCTGACTTGCTTGTGAGAGGCTAAAGTGTGATCATTTATTAGAAGGACTCTGGCTAACATGAAATGTTTAATAGACGTGGTTGTTTGTGTTTCTGTTAGGGAATTCACCATGGCAGAAATTGAGCACTTTGTGGATCCCAGTGAGAAAAATCACCCCAAGTTTCAGAATGTGGCAGATCTCAACATCCTCCTGTACTCTTCCAAAGCCCAGGTCAGCGGGCAGTCTGCCCATTTAATGCGGCTGGGAGATGCTGTCCAACAGGTAACATTCCTCTTGCAAGTGCTTGGAGCTTACTCTTTTGAATATTGCTCTCAAGGCTAAATTACAAACTGTTGTGTTGGTGCCAGCTAGGGTTTGCTCCCAGATTTAAGAGTCAATTCTCTTCAGTGAATCAGTGTGGCTGAGATCTAAGCCTGGCTCTTGTTATCAGTAATGAAAGGCTGTAGGTGGTGCTGGGATAATAGTTAGAGGTTAAGCTTCACACTTAACTAATGGGGGAGGAACAGTAAGGAGTAGTGATATCTGCCAAATATCTGTGAATCTAATACTTGGCTGCCGACCCCCATCAGTACACGGCTTGCATGTTGCGGTTTCACTACCTGATTCTCCACTCATGGAAGTTATGAATGAGTAGGTTTACCAACTCACTCCACCCCATCGCCCCAAAACCCCAAACAGAGGAACACCAAAACATCATTCCCAAATGTAAACAACCCCCCCAAAACCCCAAAATAACCACAACAAGAACACCACCCCCCTGTTGTATTGCAACCCTGAACTGGAGGGTACAGCTGCTGTGGGGTCCTGAGCTGTAACTGTAATTTTCAGGCACTGTTGTAATACCAGTGACTGCTCTGTTGCATGCGGCAGGGTATTTTCAGGTAGTTGATCTTTAGAGACAGTTAGTGATGAGTCCTAGAGTAATAATAACTTACTATTTTGCTCAGATGACAATAGTACCAGTGGCACTAGGTAAATTTGAAAATATGTAATAGTTTCAGGGGAGGCATAGTACTTTATCACAGGCAGCTGCAGGAAGTTCTCTCTGTAACGTGTCAGGTTGTCTGCAGAAGTACAATAAATCATGACTTTGCTTCCTTAGAAATTAATGTCTATGTTGGTTTTTTTTCTTCTTGCTTTTTCCCTTTCTAGGGTGTGATCAATAACTCCGTTCTCGGTTACTTCATTGGCAGAATCTACCTCTTCCTTACAAAGGTCGGTGTATCCCCAGAGAAGCTGCGATTCCGACAGCATATGGAGAATGAGATGGCTCATTATGCCTGTGACTGCTGGGATGCAGAGTCCAAAACATCGTATGTAAGTGGCAAAGGGAAACAGCAAGTGGCACTCCCTGACAGACCTGTTGATAGCGCAGGAAGGGGCTCCATTTTATTCCTTGGTTTTTAAAACTAGGGCTATGAGTCTGATGTTTCTGGCCAGTCCCACAATGGTATGAACACACTTACTGCAGTGAAAATACTCTGAATCCAGGACCAAGAGGACAGTTCAGCTCCCTGAATAGGGCTTGCACAAAGTTTATGAACTGTCCATACTTCAGACTCCTTTGCTGGAGCCTGAATTTGCCTGGGGACTTTTCACTGGTTGAATTTAATCTGAAATTAAAGGAAACCCAAGTCGTACTGCTTTCCAAACACTATAACCCCTGTAACAGCAGTGGGGAAGGATTTGTTCTGCTGGAGGCGTTATTCCAGGGCAGATTCCTTCCTGCTTGAATGTTTGCTCTTCCTTTCCCCATTCCAAGCTGTGAGAGATGAGTTTGCTTCTGCCAACTCAGACAGCTGGTGCTGGGAGAAATATTTCCCAAGGATTTTTTACCTTGCTGCTGAGTCAGTAAGAGCTTTTCAGTTCAGACCATGTTGAGTGCTTTGTTTGTCTCTTGTATTGTTGGTTGGATTTTGAAAAATGTGTCTTTTTTTTTTTTTTTTTGAGTAAACCAGCAGTAGGTAGTTAGGGGCAAGGCTCTTAGTCTAATTTTAGATTTTCCTGGAGAGCTTTAAGCCTCTTCAGTAAGTCTCAGACAAGTATATCAGTTGGAATGATAGTTTCAAAAGAAATTTCTTAGAAGGCATGGTAGCTAGACTGTATTGATTATGAAGTCGTTCTTCTACTTTTTGGGTCAAATCTCAAAAAAAAAATTACTTCATTATTTTTCCCTCATATATAGTGAAGCACATGTTCTTCTGCCTGGTTAGCCTTTCCAAGGATTCTAGGGTATGTGCAGGCTTCTGAAAATATCTAGAGAATGCTATCTGGTCTAGTTCCAATAAAGGATCAAAAGATTGAAAGGATTTTGCTGAGGTCTGTGGGGTTAGCCTGTGACACTGCAGTGACCCTTATGTGAGTAGACCCCATCCATGGTCCTGAGCAGGTTGATGACCAGACTGGTAGCATGCTCAGCCCAAAGGTGACCACACAGGGAAGGGGTCAAGGGTTCAGATGGTTCAGACAGCCTTATCTGTGGGCAGGAAGAACCTCCTACAACCCAGGGTTTGTGTGTGGTTGGTGGTTTTTGTCTGTGTGAGGGGTTTTTTTTGGTTTTGGGAGGTTTGGGGTTTTTTTCTTTCTTTTCTTTTAAGGAGCTGAAAGAGACTTATCACTAGTGATGTTTCATTAAAACTAGTTAGAGGAATAGCAGCCAATAAAATTCCACCAAACTGAAGATGAGAAAAAAATTCCTGCAGTTTGGATGAGTGATTTGTCTTCATATAGCAGAGTTTTATAGAAATGATTGAAGGAATGGCTTCCTCTGAATGTAGATAGCTGACTTCCATAAGTTCACAGCCTCTCTTCCCAGCCAGCCCAAAACAGGTTGGACATGTGTGGGCCACACCATGTCAATAAGATCAATAAACTCTGCAAGCCTCGTCATGGATCAGGACAACACTCACAGAGCAGTGTGTCCAACAGCCTAACCCAGCAGTGAAGACAGCAATCCCAGGGGCATGACAGAATCACCTTGTGAGCTAGACTCATGCTTTGGTTTGTCACTTAACTCTGATCAAAAATATTTATACCAACTTGTACCACTCAGTATGAGAAGTCAACTGTTCTGGATAACTTAAAATCTATTCTATAAAGTTACTACATAAGCCTATATTTTGTGTTGTCTGAGGAAGTAGCTGTAGTACCCTCATGGTTTAATTTGTGTAAAAATCCCCTGAGATGTTCTGGAACACCATGATTTTTGAAGCACAGGGATTTCTTCTATTCACGTACCTTTGCTGACACCCTGCTATGTCACTGCAGACTGGAAAACCCCACAGCATCTGCCTGCCTGTATGTCCATGCTGATGTGACAGAGTGAACGGAAGGCAGCTGATGTGGCTTTTCTTACATGGGATTGTCTTTTAGAAAATCCAGGTGGTGGTTGTATTTGCTGCAAATTTTGGAAGGCTTCATCAATTCTGTGTGCGTGAATGGTCTTTTGAGATTCCTCCTTGCCATACATCCTGATTTTTTTTAGTGCTTCCCTTACATATGATATGTGTCTTTTTAGCTCGTAAGCCGGGCTTTTGGCCATTCTGATGTGGCTGGTTGCCTGCTGCAGAGTGGTAAAGCCCCGAAGGCATGATGTCTTCGTGTGCCTGTAGCATGTGAGTGATAGGACTGTGTGCTCTGCCCCAGCCCCAAGCTGTTGGCACAGTTCTGTGTTCTGCCAAGCCATGTGGAAAACCTGGCCCTGCACACACGCACTGGTTAGATAACTGATGATTTCCTCTGGAAACAAATGGAATCATTCAAACGAAGGAGCAACTAGTGAGTGAGGGCTGCTTATTGTAACAGAGCTAATTATGTAGAAAAAACAGTCATGGGAGCAGGGAGGGCTTAAGGGTGAATAAACATATTTGATGGTTAAGTGGACAAAAAAGTGAGTTGGTGAAAGCTTCTGCTTTTGTTTTTTCAGGGTTGGATTGAGATCGTTGGCTGTGCTGATCGTTCCTGCTATGACCTCTCCTGCCATGCCCGCGCCACCAAAGTTCCTCTTATAGCTGAGAAGCCTCTCAAAGAGCCTATATCCTTTCGGAATAAACCAGATTCTCTTGAAGCGAAAGGTGATTTGACAGTGAGAGCCGTGCAGCTCTATTTTAAGTTACATCTGTGAATTTAGCAGGGAAACGTAGAGCTACAGACCAGCGTGACTTTGAGAAGTAACCTGCAAAGAATTAAGCGTGTGGGTGACTTTACTCAGGTGGGCAAAGGGGATTTACTATTGTGCTTGGTTTTTTCTAGCTTAATGCTAGGCTCGATTTTGACTGTGAAGCATGGTTTAAATGTGCATGTGGTGTTACTATCCCAGGTCAATCCATGTCATTCCATGGTTCTGCTGCTAAAAAAGGTTGTATTCTTTCAAAATTTATGACACTTCAGCATTTTTTATCGTTACTTTCCTTTCTGGGAGGGAAGTTTCTTAATCCGGTAGTGGAGGAGATTTCTGTGTTGTGTAGCAATTAGCTTCAACAAAAAAAAAAAAAAAAAAAAAACCAACCAAAAAACAAACAGAAACAAAAACAAAACAGGCCCTGCTTTCTGTTGTCTCAAACTCCTTAACTGCCTTGTACAGAACAGTCAACATTGTTCAGTTTGAGGCAAATAAGGGAGCCATTGGCAAAGCTTATAAGAAGGACGCAAAGGTGGTGATGGAATACCTTTCCTTGTGCGATGAGTGTTACGTCACTGAGATGGAGCAGCTGCTCAACGAGAAAGGGTGAGCTGGCTGCGTGTGCATGGTACCCTTCTCTCACACCTCTGGTGAGGGTTCCCAAAGTGCTGTTGGATTAATTTGAGCCTCCTGAAACCAGTTACCTCGTGAGAGTGGATCATCTGAAATGTTTTAGTGCTGTCCCTTCTGCCAAGTCATTGCTGGTCATCCATCAACATATCTCCTGATGTACACACATAAATGTGTAACCATGATATTCAAATATTTGTTTGTTTGCTTGGGAATGAACTTCTGGCTTTAGTAGGGTCATCCCGTAAGAGAGACACCTCAGTGAAATGGGAAATGTTTAAGTGAAATGGGAAGTGTTTACCAGCTTCCCTACGCTGGTTTGAGAGTTGACCGGGGCTGGCAGATGGTTTTGAACTTAATTTTAAAATTAATCAAAGAATTCTGTGAGTAATGGAACAATATAGTTGAATGAGAACCAAAACTTGTGTGAGTATCCTCCAGTGTTTAGTGATATGTTTTTGGACCTGTTACAGCCTTTGGCTTATTGGGGCAGCAATTTGTATGTTTTTCCTCCACCTGTCTGCCTGTATTCCTACCGCATGCAGGAATTGAAAATGTCAGAGCTCTGTACAGTTGTCAAATTTGGCTGCAGCAGACCAACAGCTGTATATGTTACGAGAAGGTTAATGGTGCAATAATAAAAAATAAACTTTATTTCCTGCTTGAAATGGTAAGTGGTGTAGGATCAATGAATACATTCCAGAATGTATTTACATTCTTTTACAATGTTCATGTTACAAAAAACATTTACATCTTGTTTGTTTAGTTGTTGGTTTTTTTTTCCAGTGAGCTAAGTTTTATTTCTTTTACATTTCTATGAACGTGAAAGCGTAGAAAAAACAGTAGCACTGAAAATAGAGAAACTATTGCAGAATATGGTGATGTGTACACACATCAAAACCAAAAGAAAGTTCATCCAGAATCCCACTGAAATGATTCAATATATGAGTTATAAGCAGTATCCCGGGTTTGAATTGATAGTGGACTGCAAATCATGACTGTTTGAACTCAGCATCCAGTTGTAGCTGCTTTCAGAGCAAAGCCTTTATAAACTTCAGCCCATTTGGTGCTGGGTCCAGATGCAGATGATTTGCTTCTTAACTGTGCTGGGTTTTGTATTACGCTGATCTGAATGCTTCAGCAAGGAGTACGTGTTGGCAGTGTCAGTATGTTAGACCTGCCTTCCATGTGACCGTGTTTGTATAAACCCATGATGCGAAGCCCTCAGGTTTAGAGCAGCAGCTTTCTGTTAGGATGCATAATGGTAAAGACATTGGCTTCCTGTCAGTGGGATAGGTCAATACAGCTGAAGTCCTGCTCGCCAAGGAGTGTGTGCTAGTTGCAAGTTAGCAAGGAGCAAGAGAAAGTAGCTAGAAGACTGTAATACCAAAAGCTTTAGAAATAAGCAATAAAATAACTGCACTGTATCCTCCCCTTTGCTTGGTATCTGTGAAAATGTGTGGTACCTTCTGACACAACTCAGTTTTCACAAGAAGTCCATGCACTGGATGAGATGTACAGTCTGGCTATTGGTGGCTATTTGGTGTGCCTCCCTTTTTTTCTTTTCGTGTATATGCTTCATCCTGAGAAGCTTCCATTTCCTAATTGAGTTTGCTTCAGGCTGTTAACCACAACTGAGTTCACTGTGGTTATGAAGATGGTTGCTTTTAATGTAGATGAAGTAATTTCTGTTATTAACGTAAATTCCTTTTAATGGGTATGCCACATGTTTCTTTGATCTCTGGGATTTGCCCTGGCTTCTGTCATCCCAGTCTTAAAGTCAACCAACCAATGCAATTAAGAAAATACAACTTGTTTATTTATTGCTGTAGTTTTTAAGTGATTTTTTTCCTTTGCAGGGAATTCACTGTTGAAACTGAAGGGAAAACTTTTAAATTAACAAAGGACATGGTTACTGTGAAGAGATTTCAGAAAACATTACATGGTAAACTTTTATCTTTGTTGTTTGATCATCAAAAATAAGAGGCAGATCAGGATACACTTTGAATGTGAACTTTATTAATTGCATTGTTCTGTTAGAATTGTGCAGTGGCACAGGGAAAAATGCAAATATTATTTCCTTGAAATTTGACAGTTTAAGAGAGTTGGAAAGTTTTCACACAGCAGTAGCGGATTTCAGTGACCATAGATGGAGGCTGTCTGCCTGCTTCTTGCCCGGTCTGTTCAGTAACCCATTTAATAGACTTTGGGTGGTGTGCTGCTTCAGTTGCATTTTCTGGGATTTGTAAGGTCCCATGTGGTGCTAAGAACCATGGAGGAGCTGGGGAAGGTGCACCAGCTTTGGGAGCTTTCACCTCTAAGTCCATTGCAGTGCAGCAGAGGGGTTGTGGCATTTGTTGGCAGGGCCATGGGCAAATCTCTGTGCTCAGAGCTCCTGTTGTCACTCCACTGCTAGGAGTTAAGTCTTCCAGCACCTGTCGGCTTGCCAAGCTGCCATCCTGACCAGACTCAAAGCTGGGAAGTCCAGTCAGTTTCTCTGGTAGTCGATAATTGCATCACCTTTGGTCAGCGACTGCACCTCCAGAGAGCTTTTTTCCTGATGGGGGAAATAGGGCTAGAAGGTAACTTTCCAAAATCCACAGATTTAGTTCCTCAAAGAAGTCTTGTCTTTCCAGCCAGCTCTATAAGCGCCTCACCCAAGGTCGTTTGGGAAGTCTTTGACAGAGCTGGAGACTGAGGTAGATCTTTACCCAGTTCATATTGTAACTCGTGGATCATCCTGCCCTAGTTGGGAACATGATAAAAGCTCCTAGGAAGGAGTAGAGCATCTTGTAGCATGTGCAGAATATATTTTTTCTTGCAGCTGCTGAGCCTTTGAGATGTCCAGGTGTCTTTCACTCAGTGCACGCTGCTGCTGTGCCAGGCTTTGCTTTGTTACAAGTTTAAAGAAGGAATCAGAGTTGTAACTGTTGGTGACTGTAGTGTTGCTGAGGGCCAGCAAGTAGAACCCCAGTTGCTGGTTTACCTTGTTGGTCAATGCATAAATAAAACAACACCATCCTTTTGGAAGATAAAGTCCCACTCTGGGTTAGGTGCTCAGTTGAGGAGGATTGGCTCTGTAGGCACATGGAGTGGGAGGCAAGTCAGGGTGCAGTGCTGGAGAGCTGGGTGCTACCTTTGCTTTTCAAAAGCAGCTGATGCCTGTTGTTTCTTCCCCAGTTGCTCTCTGACCTTTTCCTAAAAAGCTGCACTGTCTGAGCAGGGCAGCTGTCCACCGGGCTTGTTTTGTACACAGAGGAGAGAAGGAGGAAAGAGCCTCTTTGACAGATGTGTGGCAAGAACTGGAGAGACTGGGTATATAATAATTCTTCTGAGAATTTTTGCAAACACTAACGAGTTGATCCTCGTTCATTCCCACTCTTGTGATAGGTTGCAGGGGGATGGAGAATAGGGAGGGCAGCAGCATTGAAGCAGGCAGCTGAACAACGCAAGAATACAGAGGAAGTGTTTGCTGGAATTCGAGTTGGATCTGAAGCTCAATGCTTCTCTGCTCGGTCTGCTGGATGCTGAGGCTGTGTCTACACGTTAAACCAAAGTGGGGCAGGGATGGAGCATCACCCTGCCATCATCCATGTCTAATTGCTAGCATATTCCCTGTCACGGTTTTGGTCTCTGTCAAATAGCACTCCCCCAGACAATGCCTGGACATAGTTTGTGGCTTGGTATGGAGCCCCAGTGAACAGTTTGGGTGAGGCTTTGCTGTTGTGAAGTGGAAGAGGGTTTATCTGTGTGGATGCAAGTTATGCTGTGCTGTTTGCTCTCAGGGCCAGAGAAGGGGCCCTGGCTTGTTATTTACAGCCTAAATACATTCTGTACATGGACTAAGTCCAAATCTCTACTTCAGGTATTTGAATTCAGAGCAGAAATGCTTAACCTTCTATTTCCATGCGCTCAGCTACATGTAATCAGAACTTTGAGCAGAAAGGCACCTTTAGTAAACACATCTTTTTTTTGTGTATAAATTCTTTTTTAATGATGATGTGTGTTCTTTTGTGTTCCAGTGGAAGAAATTATCCCAAATGTAATTGAACCCTCATTTGGTATTGGGAGGATCATGTACACAGTGTTTGAACACACATTCCACATCCGGGAAGGAGATGAGCAGAGAACGGTGAGCTTTCCTGTGGCTGGGCCTCAGCTTAAAACCAGCTGCAAGCATTTGCCTTTCCCTAACATCCAGGGGAATGACTGAAATAAGACTGCACAATCCACAGTAGAGATGGAAAAACCCAGGTGGGCTGTTGAGTTGCTGTTTTTGCCAGCGTACGTGTCCCTTAGACATGCGCACTGAGAGCATTCTGGGGCTGTGTGTGCACGAGACTCTTGCTATATTACTGGCAAAGGGGTGAGAAAATCATCCTTCTGGATTCACACTTGGCAATGTCCCATCACTCCAAGAAAGGCATCTCTACGGTGTTTTATTTCCTCTCTCTTTGTACGTTTCCTGGAATCATAATTCTGTGCAGCAAAATGGACAATAGACTGTTTCCTCAGTCTCCCATGAAATGAAATCTTCTCTGATTCTGGGCACCCCTAAAATCTTGGCCTGAAACTTTGCTGTAGCAGGGGCCAGAGGGAAGTGTGTGTTACATACAGAGCACCAGCCTGTTCCAGCCAGTGCCCAAATGGTGGTGTTCCACACCATTGCTGGTGGCCCATGGGAAACTGGCTGTAAACTTGATGCTGGTTCCTGTTTGTTGTTTCTGGCTGATAGACTGTGTGTATAGAAAAGAAAAATAGCAGTGCTCCTTAGTGTCTCTGATTGCCACAGGATGATACAGTTATGAGTGGGGGGAATGGGATTCAGGAGTCCAGACGTAAGATGCAATTGACTTTCAATCACAAACTGTTCATGAATTCTAAAATATTGGACTTAATCTTCCTTCTGTACCCATTTACTTTCTATGTGTCCTGGGCTCCTCTGTATTGTGGTACATCTCAATTGCATTACTTTGGCCTTGCTGATTGCCAGGAAATATTTTTTTCCACCTCTCTTGGCACATTTTTCTTTTCTGAGGGTGTCTCTGGAGGGCTCTGAAAACCTTTGAGTTGCATATACTCCGTGCGTGTGCAGAGTCTCTATGGGAATCAAACGGGGAGTGAGATGATTATGAGAACTCTTCCCTTCAGACTGTGCATAAGACTAAATTTGCAAAGACCCCTCTACCCTTCACTTTTCTGTAATTCAAATGAGCTTCACTTCCTTCAGGGAGGGCTCTGGTAAACCTCTTTTAGTGGGAGGTAATGTTTGGCTCTCAGGAGGAAAGGGGGAGTGGAGGACAGCTGGAGAAAATCAATCGTGCTTCAGCAGTATGAGGTGTTACTGCTGGAGCCTAGAATGCTAATGTCTTACAGAAGGCCAGCTACTCCCCTGAAACAGTCAGCCTGCCTCCAGCCTCACTCAGAGCTTATTTTCACCTCCTAAGAATCTGGCCTACCCATTAAACTTGTATTTATTTGTGCTCTTTCTCTTTTTCCTTAGTTCTTCAGCTTCCCGGCTGTTGTAGCACCGTTCAAGTGTTCTGTTCTTCCTCTAAGCCAGAATCAGGAATTTATGCCTTTTGTCAAGGAATTATGTAAGTGTATTAAGCACTGTGGGTCCGGTGGGGATGTGCACTGGGAAGAGAGGTTTCTTCCTCGTTGCTACGGGGAGAAAATGTTGGGATCACGTGGCTCTTGTGCAGAAGAAGAGCCATTGAAGTAAAACAGCTGGGTTGGCTGGAATCAGTCAGGTTTGAGTATCTATCAAACTCTTTAGTCTAACCTTAAAAAACCCAACTCCCTGCCCTTCCTTGTGTTGGTTTGCAGTGTAAAAGATGTTTCTTTTTTTCCTTTTATCAAAAAGAAATCTTTCCCACTGCTTGGGAGAAGCTGTCAGAAGCAATGTTTCATTTACTATTTTTTTTTTAATTAAATTATTTTCTTGGCTCTTGTTGCCTAGCTAATTTATTGAATTGGTCCCCAAGCTGCTGAGCCTCCAAGCATTCTGTCAAAATGCCCACTGGTACCATCAAAAAGTGCGTATGTGAAGGACATAGGCTGCATGTCACACAGGGCCTTTTGCTGTCAGCATCAGTTCTGCTCCAGACCTCGCCTCCCCATGCGGAACATGCCCCTGCACACATGTGAGGCTGGTGTGGTTTTGAGTCACAGCAGAGTTGTGGAACTGTAATGACAGGTTGAAGAAGTCGGTGACTTTGCTCTTTGGATGAGAGTTGAGTGGTGCAGTGTGGAGAGCTGTGAAGAGTAGCAGTGTACCTGGGGGGTGGGTTTGAGCTTGTAGTCAAGGGACTGGAACACTGGATCTTCTGTCAAAATTGAAATGAGGGTCTCTGCTGCTTGAAACGAGGACACATGGTGCCTCACTTCAGCTAGCGCCATGAGGATGTAGGAGGCCACTGCGAGGATCATGTTTAGATTGGATATTAGGAAGAAATGTTT